GGATCTGTTTGAATATGTACTTTTCTAAAAAGATTATTTATTATTTCATTAGGGAATCCATTCTGAGCCGCTAGATTATGTATGTAATTATATTCCTTGATATTGTTATCCTCTGACAAAGGATATTTTAAGAGCCTGTTTTTCTGAATCCTGAAATTGGCTAGTTTTTGGTTGAGAGGGTGGGCAGAGTCATAAGGAATGGTTGTTGGTATCATTGATGGTTTTCTAAATATATCAAATTCTAATTTGCCATCTTCTAAGCATTTCACGGTTAGATCTAGAAAATTTAATGTCTTATTTTCTTCTATTTCAATAGTGAAGTTTAATTTTTGATGTAAGTTGTTTAAGTAATCTAAACAATCATTTGTGTTTGGGAGGGAACCAATCACAAAAAACATCATTAACGTATCTTATCTAACGGTTAATGTAAATGTTATAAGGGTTTGAGCTGTTAATTATTTTGTCATTTTCGATGTGATCAAGGTACATGTCGGCAAGTATTCCTGAAAGAGGCATTCCCATTGGTAAACCTTCTACAATATTATAGACTTCTCCGTTAAAAGAGCAGTAATTCTGAGTGATGAAATGTTTTAGAATGATGTTTAAACGTTTAATTGTGTCTGTGTTATTTTTAAAATTTGATGAAAAGAGTTTATTAGTTAGTTTAGGAGTAGTAACGGTCTTTACTGTTAGAAACATCTCTAAGAATAATCTTTTAGAATAAATTGATTCTTTATCCACAATCTGAGAATTCTCAATATTAAAATGGTGACCACTAAGAACATGGTGATGAACCAACGCACTCTTATTTTCATCTCTAGATTGACAATCCCGTTTATCTTGTTTAATCCTAGCATCAAAATACTGACTGGTAGTACCTATATACGTTTTTTCACAATTATTGCAAGGAATCTTATAGATGACATTAGATTGTAGACTTTTAGGAACTAGATCTTTAGTCCTTGAAAAACAAGTGGAAGGTAAAGAGTTACATTTAGGAAACTTAATCAAGTCAAACCTCAGAACTGAAACAAGTTTATCAGTCAACTTGGGGACGAAAGGTGTTTGTCCTGCATTTAATTTTCTTATTTTCACCCCATGTCTGAGTTATGTGCGCATGTACGCCGGCTCAACCTGGAGTTTTCAAGTTTAAAACACTCACACACACTTACTTCTCAATCATACTTTCTATCACACCTGTCAATAATACGAAAAACCACGTTCTGCTATAACGTCCACCCACGCTCACACTTATATTAAATCAAGGTAATTATATTTTCAATTTTATTTATATTAAATTTAGTCAGTTGCAATTTTTTGTTTTATTATTTATCTTTATTATCATTTTGTTTCAATTAAAGAACCAACACCTAATTTTTGTTTCCCAGTTATTTACCGCGCGAATATTGTCCTTCGAGTCCTTCGAGCCGGATGCTTCCGGAGTTAATTTATAATTTGTTTAATTATTTTTTGTTTTTTTTTTGCGTTTTTACGCCGTATTATTAGAATTTTTCGATTATTAATCCACGTTTTTTGCGTTCTTCCACGTTGTTCCGATCTCTTGTGGGACATCTGGAGAACCTGAAATTTGTTACGCTATTTTTAGCGTCAGATTTCGTTTAATTTTGGTTTTCTTTCTTCGTTTTTTGAAATATAAATTCTTTATTTTTTAAAAGTACTTTCCTCATCGTGATTTATTCACCTGGAATTCTCTATCATTTATTTTACACTAATTACAATTAATCTTTCTGATTTTCTCGTTTATTTTCCTTTTGAAATCTATTTTTTTATTTATCCTTTATTTTATTCAAAAACCAATTTGGAATTTATTTCTTCGAACGATTCAATTGTTCTTTTGAGTTTATTATTTTTTCTCCATTTTCTGTGGGGATTAGAATTCGTTTCTTGGATTTACCTATTTTTATTAACTGCCATTATGAGTGATAAACTTACCAGACTTACCCTGCGTCGTAACGGTTTCTATAATCGTTTACTTGAATCCAAAACCTGCTTATCAAACCCACTTATCTCCAAAACCTTCTTCGACAAAAGAAGCTCCTTCAACATCAAGCCCAAAACTTAATAAATTAACGTTACCTACGTTTGACGGTAACTACAAAGATTGGCACCCTTTTTTTGATATGTACAAAACCATGGTACATGAAAACAAATCCTTGTCTTCTATTGCTAAGTATCAGTACCTACTCACCTCATTAAAAGGAGAAGCTTTCAATCTTTTGAAAGGACTTCCAGTAACTGATGCTAATTACGAGATTGCCTATGACACACTAAAAGGCAGATATCAGAATAAACGCCATCTAGCGACACTTTATTTCAATGAACTGATTAATTTAAAGCCTCTGAAGGAAGATTCTGCCAGAGGTTTTCGTTCAATCATTGACACCTTCCACGAAAATGTCGAAGGTTTTCGAACCTTGAAATTTCCCGTGGATCAATGGGTATTTTTACTATTTAATGTACTTCTCCAAAAATTGAATTCTTCCACTAAAACGGCTTTCGAAGCTGAACATACTGAATTTGAAATTCCATCGTATAAAAAACTGATTGTGTTTCTGGAAAAGAACGCAAAGGCATTAGAATCTGTACTGTTAACGTTTAATGATAAAATTTCCTACAATAAGTTAAGTAAGTTAGTGAACTTAAAAATTGAACAAGGTTCATCTCCTTTAACCAATATTTAATGTATCATATCTAAAGAATATCATCCGACATATCGATGTAATCTATTTACGTCCAAATCAGCAGCTGATCGATTGCAGCTGGTTCGTGAGAAAGCACTATGTCGGAACTGTTTGAGTAAAACCCATACAACTCACAACTGTTCATCGACCCATAGATGTCGTACTTGCAATCAGCATCACCATACTTTATTACATTTCAAATCGTCAAATTCTCCAGCGATCCATGTGGGAACCATGTCATGTAATACAAATAGGACGGCAACGAACGAAAGTACTCGAAAAGTCATTTTGCCAATCGCCTTTGTAAATATCCGTGATCAATTTGGCCAATTTCATTTGGCACGGGCTCTGATTGATTCGGGAAGCATGTCAAATTTTATTACGACAAAGTTATTGCAACGACTTCGTCTGCCCCGCCAAAGTAATTCGTCAGTGGAGATTCATGGATTAAATTCAATGACTTCAGTCTGCAATAAAGGAATTGTCAACTGTACTATCCAATCATGCCAATCCCAAAACTTTATCTTTGATCTTAAAGCCATAGTTACCTCCTCGATTTGTTCTGGTCAACCATCACTATCCTCTATTATTCGGTCCTATGATCTTCTTAAATATCTTGATTTCCATCCAGAACATCACTCCCCATAGAAGGAAGTAGACTTGTTATTGGGTGCAGAATTAATTCCTCCACTTTTTACTGGTGGTCGAGTGTGCGGTGATCAGAATGATCCTGTAGCTCTCCATTCCATTTTCGGCTCGATATTAATGGGTAAAGCTGAATTATCAACGACTTCCTTATCAACATGCATTTCTGCGATGGAAGAATCCTTGGATTCATCAATGCGACGTTTTTGGGAGCTCGAATCAATTCCTGAAATTAAATCTATGACGATAGACGACGAAAATATCGACGATAATTATAATTATCATATATGATAATTATAAATAATTATCGACGTGATACCGATGGACGTTTCATTGTATCGTTACCATTCAAGCAAAACCAACCGGATCTGGGAAATTCCTACAATGTTGCTTTAAAACGTTTTAAATTATTGGAAAATCGTCTTCTGAAAAATGTCTCTCTTCGTGACAAGTACACCGAGTTCATGAAAGATTATTTAAAATCAAATCATATGTCTTTAGTTCCTTCACCCTCTCCTAGCTCCAATAATTATTACATTCCGCACCATTGTATCCTTCGGAAAGTCATTAAATGATATGTTGCTGATTGGACCTAAACTGAACCCACGACGACTTTTTGTAGCAATGCTGTCGCGCGTTCGCATCGATAGAGTCGCTATGCGGTCGCTAGCTGTTTGCCCTCGCCCAAACCACGATTCAGTCGCGATGCAAACGCGATTCAGTGGCACAAAAATGCCTGCGATCGCTACAGTTGCAAGATGGACTCCGTTGAGGCAACATTAGTCACGTTGTCTTTGGTGCTGCTTTTGCGTAAGCAGCCGAAGCGTGGGCAACGAAAGCAGCGTCAAAATTGGATGCACCCATTTAATAAAGAGAGATTACTTGGTGGACATTATGTAACAACGTTTAAAATACTAAAAAAACTATGAGCATAAATTCAGAAGTTGTTATAGAATGTCATATTCGACGTTTCGTGAATTGCTTTCCATTGTAAAACCAGAGTTGACACGCAGAAATACAGTGATGAGACAAAGTATATCAGCTGAAGAACGACTAACAATAACTTTAAGGTAAGAAAAACCAAATATTATGTTTTTAATCTCTTAGTTTTTATTTTACGGCGAATATAGGTTTGTGATAATATCAGAATCTTATGTAGAATCATCATAACTAAAACTATATGCATTATTATTTTGTTGCGATGAACTACCTGCAGTATTGGCATTGGCACCAGCAGGCGTAGGCGGTGTGTGGTAACTACTTATTAGTTGCGACACGCTACTTTCAGTACTTGTACAAGCAGGTGTTGTTTTGTAGCTTTGGTATCCAGACTGATATCCATAGTGACTAGTGTATGCAGATGTTTGCGTCATACTGTTATATTTGCGAAGCAAATTTATCATTTAATCATTTAACTGCAACAAAATATTATACACATTTTAATTAATTTCAGATTATTTAAATACGCTTTCATTTGTGACATCAAGCAAATGTATCGCCAGATTTTGGTATCACCTCATGATCAAATCTTTCAAAATATTTTATGGCGATTCTCTCTTGATGATCCCATACAGAAATATGAGTTGAAGTTTGGTGATAGTTGATTCAATGTTCATCGTGGGTTGTAAGTGATAAATAAAAACTCCTTGGGATCGATGAAAAATTATTTATTCTTAATATAAGATCAGTGCAACATGTTTCGAGATTCAAAATCTCTTCATCAGGCACGACTAAAAAACATAAAATTGAAGCAAGAAATTTGTTATACATATTTTTTAATTTGTTTAGTTACCGTCAATTACTTATGGAGCACAAAATTGAACATCTGACAACGTGGTGAAATTTTGTAGGTGATTGGACGAGACAAAAGGCGTTAACAAGTTTTTTAAAGGCCTTAAGGGCAAGTTAGTTGGTTACAAATATTCTAAAACAAGATAGAGACACGTGTTATGTTAAAGGAATCGAGAAGGCCACTTACTCTTCATCGTTAAAAAAAAACTGGTTTTTAAGAAATTGAAATTAATTGAATTGTTTGAAATCTGAAAGGGGAAAGTTTATTTACTAAATTTGAAAAAATTAATTAAATTAAGAGTTGCATGACTTACAAAAATTTATAAAAATTATCGTGAAAATTAAAGTTTTATTCTTACGAGTCCATCCCCGACGTGAAGAAACTTGAGGTGGACTGAAGGACATAAAATTTGGGGAAAAGTCTTGCACCGGAAAAGCAAAAAGGCTGTGGAGGGGAGAGGTTAATATTAAATGAATTTTAAAAATTGGCGGGTATTATTAAGTTCTGTTGTGTCATTTAAAAGTTTGTTATTGTAATTGTTTAAATTAACATGCAACTCTTCGAGAAGGAGGACACTCGAGAAGGAGTTGAACACTGTAACATATGGAGTAGCATCTGCTCCGTTCTTAGCTTTACGAACGCTAATTGAATTATCAAACATCTATTCCAATGAATTTCCAAATGCTTCTAAAGTTTTACAAACTAACGTATACGTAGATGACATTGTTACCGGAGCTCAGTCAGTGGAAGAAACACTTAATTTAAAATAAGAATTGATTAGTTTGTTGGGAAATGGTGGATTCCAATTGAGAAAGTGGGCTAGTAACTGTCCTGAAGTTCTCCAAGAAATGTCAAAGGCCGATTTACAATGTCCAATTTCACTGGATTATGAAGACACTAGATGTGTGAAGGTCCTAGGTCTCCAATGGGATCCAGAAACAGATAAGTTCCTTTATTCCTATACTCCTCGCGATAGTTCATGCACTAAAAGATCTATTTTAAATAAATAAATAAAATAAATAAATAAAATAAATAAAATAAATAAAATAAATAAAATAAATAAAATAAATAAAATAAATAAAATAAATAAAATAAATAAAATAAATAAAATAAATAAAATAAATAAAATAAATAAAATAAATAAAATAAATAAAATAAATAAAAAAATTCTTTCGTTCTTCCCGATCTACGCTGTTATCAAAAATAAGGCTAGTTAGTAAAATTTCAAACCTTTTAACAGACATTGTCGTTCTAAAAATGGGACGTCCCAAATAATCTTTGGAAAATAGGGATAACATATCCTCATGTGAGGATTTCATAATTGACGACAACATAAGGAGTCCAAGCAGCGCTTTGATCTCAGTAGAATTCGTATCTCTATAATTTGATTTATTGGTTGTCACCGGTAATTTTTCTCTTATATTATTCATTGTCTCATTTGTACGTAAAACAATTTCATCACATTATGTGACTTCGTCGGATTCAGTTTTTCCTCAAAACATTTGCTTCGAGATTCATCCTAATAGTATCATTTCTGGGTTCTATTTCCAGGAAATCATCATCTGACATTGATTCATCATCAGTTGAATCATTACTATCCTCTAAAATATAATCAGGATCTTGGTCGGAATGTCTACTAGGACCTGGTTTATCCATAGTTACTAAAAATAAAACTGGTTTTTACAAATATGGGCTATATAACTTACATATACACATTATACGCTTACTTTTGTTTAATAAATAATAAATAACTTCTACTTGCTTTATTTAAATATACAGTCGTACATATTTCAGGAAATTATTCCCATCTTCAGCGACAAGCTATTAAAATAATGAAAATCACATTAGATATTAATCTTATGGTAACATTTAAAATCAAATAACTAGAATTAAAAATGAAAAGTGAAATCTGAACATATTAAAAAAGAACTCACCGTCAGGAACCGTAAGAAGGATCACAAACCAAGCAAAGCATATAAAAAACAATAGTTTTCCAAAGGAAAAACCATGTTAAAATGAATTCAAGATATAATAAAATTTTTTTTTTTTCAAATGGCGTTAAAATTACGTTAAATCTAAGACAAAAAAGGAAATAAAATTAATATATTAGAGACTAAAAGAAAGAAAGTCTTACCTATAAAAATATAAATAACAAATCAAGCATTAAAATTAAATTGTAAAAAAACATATAAGGTATAACATTAAATTTGGTTTGTTCATTTGGAGGATTGAAAGACACTGAAGGTGAAACCAAATACATTCCAAAAGGAACGAAAAACAGGAAAAAAAGGAAGGAAAGGAAAAGACCCCCCCAAGGACAAAGAAAGAATATATGAAAAGGAAACAAAAAAACTAAAAAATAAAATTCAAAAAAAATTGTACATCCTAAATAAGATAGGATCGAAAAGAACATTACCGTGAATATCGATGATTATTGGCATTTGTCAATTTTATCTGTAAATTTTTACACTCTTTCAAAATATCTTCTTTTGAATAATATCTGAGTTCATTAATGTTGTGAATAATTCTAAATATGTGGTATCTAATATGGCAAAAAAGAAATTAATTTTGAAATTGTCTTTGTTAGTAAGAATCGGTTCATCATCTGACTCATAGTGTCAACTCAATTGTTTTTTCTTTTTTCTTCTCCGAACATCTGGAAATGTATGTTCCACATCTAAACTTTCAACTATGTTCTTTGCAGAATTCACAATTGATTCGAATTTGTCATCTGTCCGATAGTCCTTTAGATATACAGAGTGTCCCGAAACTCAACATCAAGCGGGCACCGGGTGAGAGGCCAACCCATACCTGTTCTGGTAAAAATAAGAAAAAAATTCCATGTCTCTTAGTTAAGTGGTAATAGACATATTTTTGAAAATGTTAAAAATCGTTCCCGTACATCATATCTTTAGGTACTACGGTCAGAAATGTTCGCAATTTAATAGTAATTTTTTTAATAACGGATTCCTAATGAACCATGCTACTATAGCAATCACAAATCGAACAACAAAAGTCGTTAGTTTTGCAAAAAAAAGTATTAGTTTGATTGAGTTAAGGTTGAAAGAATTTATGTCTATTAAGTTTGACACACGATTTCTAAACAAAGGAGCAGTACAATAACCTTGGCAAGTCATTTTAAAAGATGGCCTGTTTAGTCAAGATTCCAAAATGGTATAACACTTGCTATTTTTCTTTTCCTAAAAATATGATTGCCTGTTTTTCTGCAAAAAACGGTTATTTAAAAAATTCATACTTTCGTATGTTATTTGTATTTCCTCCAAAATGATTTAACAACTTTGTTAGAAGTTTTGTTGTAATTTTTGAAGACAGGTTATCTGCTTGAGTTCTTGATTCCATATCTTTAGTTGATCGTCAGTGATTTCCAAGAGAGCTTGATAAATTTCGCGTATATTCATATGAAGAGGTTTTATCGCTTCTATGCGGCTTTCCCATCTAGTCGTTGACAACGATTTTAAAGTAAAATTTTGAACATGAAACTTTAGTATTGCCCATCGCTTAGAGGAACTTGAAAAAAAAATATACACCTCTTGAATACCACCAAAAAAATTAACAGTTTCGAATGATATCGCCTCATCGTTCACTACTAGGTTTAGTGAGTGGTTAGAACATGGAACAAAAAAGGCTCTTGAATTCGCTGCAATAATTTTTTGCTGAAGCCCATTGTGTTTGCCACGCATGTTTGCCCCATTATCATATCCCAAATACAAATCTAATAACAATGGTCAATTGATCGGTATAGCTTATATCTGGAGTAGTATCGAGAACCATCGAATAATATTTTGCACTGTGAACCATTTCCAAAATCTGTTTTTTATGCCTTTGACCATTAAATGAATTATTTTATTTTGTATGCCATCTCCTAAATAATGCGCAATATTCTTTTTGTCAGAGGTTTGAATACGACGTAAATGTTCAGCCATCGCGTTATCAAATTTAGCAATAGTCTCTACTAATTTTATGTAGGTGTCTGTGAATTTAGGGGGGATCATTAGGGAATGGTTTCTCTAACATCCTATATAGGGGTGGTCTGGTTAGATCTATTTGGTCATTAAGGCATTCGATATTCTTATTCAGGAATTTTAATTTCTCGATTTCGTAGGCTTCAGTGAGAGTCATTTTAATTCCCTTATCCATTCTGTGTAATAATTTTACACCAGTATTTATATCAAAACTGTGTGAGTTGTTGAGAAGATGTCTTCCGAAATTAGATCTGATGCTACCCTTGTGTTCGTTAATTCTCTGTTTTATTGATCTTCCCGTTTCGCCAATGTGTATTGCACCGCAAGTGTCACAATTCAATTTGTAAACACCACTATTTTCGAGGAGGTTGGTGTTGTCTTTCTTGTGGTTTAATAAATTGATTATGGAGGTGGAGGATAAAATAATTGATTTTATCCATAATTTTATGAGATAGTTCAAGTTTGTACGACTCCTATCAGTTGCCGAGAAAAATCTAGTCAAGCTATTGTAAATTTTATGTGCATGACAAAAAAAATTTCTGTGTGCGCTTTAAAATGCTTAATAGGTCTTGCCAGACTATCAGAAACATTTTTAGTAGAGTAAGTGTGCCCCGGAAATTCCAGCAGTGGTGGATTGTTGATAATAAATTTAGCAATCTCGATTGTATAAAGTTGCCTAATATTAAAAACCTCAGTGAGTTCAAACAGCGCGTCCGATGGGAAGTCGCGCGGTTTATATGTCATAATTTTTAAAATAGTTCTCTGGGCAACCTCAACGTTAGTAATAAGATAAGTCGGGGCATCTCCCCAAGCTGCATCAAAACTTAAAGTAGACATTGATAGAATGGATATATTACAACAGGAAGCTACATTTCTTTCATCTTCAATTGTGTTTGTTCCAACTTCTGTTTCTTGCTTATCTACTTTCTTATCTACTTTTCCTATTTGTTCGGATTGCTCTGATGTTAGTGGAGCATCAATTTGAGTTGAAACTTTTTGTTTTTTTTTGTGAATGTGTTAATTCTGCCAAAAATTTATTTAACGAACCAATCAACTCTTGATCAATTTGTAATTGTCTGGCTTTTCATTTTCTATACTGAGCCCCTGACAAAGTTTTTCTTTTCCGACATCTACAAAGCCACAACATGTTAGTTAATGGTCTTTAAAACTCAGAACGAGTGTATTTATTTTATATTCAATATTCAAGAATAATTAATAGAAATACTTAATTACATAACTATAAATACTTACAATTTCAGAATCACTATTAAGATAATGGA